ACATGTACACAAGAAAATGCCTTCCTTTGGCTGAATTTGTTCTGAAATTATGTAATTTTAATTAAATAGCTGGTTGCGTGACAGCTAACACTTTGAAATTTTGCTAGAAACGTTTTGAGAAACCCTGCGACTACAATCAGGTCATTTCAAGCCAAGTTAAAAATTGTAATCATAGGATTCCCTCTGTTATGGGTCGCCTTTGTTGAAATCTTTTCTGATTTTCAACAGCATCAAACATCGCAACAAGCATTTTTGGTGCTCTTAATTGATCAAAGCTCTGTTGAATCGTATATAATTGGCTAACATTTTTTGCCTTCAGTTAAATACCATAACTTACCAGGGATGTAATTAAAACTATTTTTTTTCCTCAGGTATGACATTATGGTGAGGTGCTGGAACGTCAACCCTGACTTCCGTCCTCCCTTTGAAAATCTGCGAAAGAGAATGGAGTCTTATATTCGTGACACGGTTTGTAATAACGGTTTTGATAACAAAATTCTCGAATCTGATTTGTCCTTCCATAGATCTTACACGGTCGCTTCATCTGATTCTCCTTTCTTTATTATATTCTCTCAATTAAACGAGCCTTCCTCTAGTATATAAATTGTCAGAAATTTAAGACAGTTTATGAATATGAATGATTATTCTACAGTAAGTATTTTATTTATGTACCAACTAAACTTACTTTTCACGGCCGCTTTCCTATATTAATTATAGGAGAGGATATTAATCGGTCTCCCACATATATGGTCATTTTCAAGCATGTTATTTCCCCGTTTCCAGTACGCTCTCCTCTCTTTTGACCACTTCTTTAAGGTCATGCATCGAATGGGATTTTCCAGCTACTTCTAACCCCTAACACATTCGCTTTGAGCACGTCAAAAGCTGCCACTGTCACTAAGATAAATGTTCATTACTTATACTGTTATCTCAGACATACCTGGAACTGATCAACATGGACGAGTACGATTCAAGTAAATATGCAAAAGTGGAAGACGAGGGAGGAGAAAACATTAGGGAACATTCGCAAGAAGCTAAGTCAAGTGGAAAGAAACGTGGAGCAAGAAGATGTGCAAGCGTGCGCCAGTAGAGATTGTGCATTGATTCGAATCACGAGAGTATCATGTTAATGGCAAAAAAAAAAAACCATAAATAACAGAAAATTGTCAGTTAAATAGCTGGCCATGTAGATTTGATCAAAAGAGATTTACTCATAATTTGCATGTTTAGCTGAAATAACATTTTAAATCTGATCCGGAAGATGATAGCAGAAATGGACTAGGGTAGTTTCTAGGGCCATGGTTCCCCATTTTGACAAAGGTAGCCATTGTTATACGTTTGTCCAACTAATGAGACGGCTGTGTTAATGAAGTGGCTGTGATAATAGTATTCAGTACTATTAATGAAGTCGCCGCACTAATAAGAGACTTATAATAATAAGGTGCCCGTGCTTCTGACGTGATCATGCTTATTTTATACTAATGAGGTGCCGTTCAAATGAGTTGCTGTGCTGCCAAGGTTGTCGCGTTAACGAGGTAGCTGAGCTGATGATATTTTCCGCCAATGAGGTGGCGCACTAAGGAAGTGATGTGCTAATGAGGCGGCTGTGAAAAAGACGCATTAACGAGCTGGATGTTGATAATGCGGCTGCTGTGCTAATGAGATAGTTGTGCTCATAAATTAAAGCGGCTGTGTAAAAAATAAAACTGAATGTGACTATCTGAAGAAACAATTTGAAGAGACAATAACTCAGAGAAAAGGGCAAGGAACAAGTAGCTTTACTAGTTGAACTTTCTTGTTGGCTGTATGCCGTCATGGAGTATCTCTGCTCGTTAGGCCACTTTCCTTCTAAAAGGCACTTTACAGAGAGGTACTACCCCTGCATGTTATGAGGTGGTTGTGTCAGTGACGTGGCGCTACTAATTAAGTGAACGTAAGAACGAGCTGGATGTTGCTTATTAGCCTGCTGTGCTAAAAAGGTGGTTGTGTCTATGAAACAGCTGTGTAGATGTTGTTGATTAACTATCTAGTGAGGTGCCTGTCTTAATTAGGAACAAGAACAATTTGGCTCCAATCAGGAAAATACAAATGACATGTTTAAGTCATTATCAGTATGTAACTAGCCCAGAAACCACAGGTAAAAATTCCATAGTTTAGTTCACACTGTATAATCATCATTTTATTACATTACCTAGTAATTACGAGTTCGTTTGTTCTTTGCTGGTATTTAAAAATTGTTAACAGAGAGTTGATGAAAGCGAAAAAAGTCACTTCATTAATCATGTCTGAAGAGCTGTTTGTTTAAAGCAGACTTTAAAACTAACTCTAGAATAATATGTTGCTTGGCAATAAGCTAGCCCCTTGAATTGACTCTCAATCGTTTAAGCTACGTATGTTTGAGTAGTGCCAGTGTAAAGCGGCCTTCACACGGCAAACTTAAGTTGGCAAACTCGTGTTGGCAAACTTCAAAAGGTTGGCAAACTCGCTCCTTCACACGTCAAACTCGCGTCAAATCACAACACAAGGTAATTTTCAAAAATTTAAGGGTCGGCTGCTCCTCCGCTACCTCCCCGCCCTTCTCTCTGGTCAAAAATTGGATCATAGGCTCACCTTTGAGTCACGCGCACGAGCGGCGAAGAGCAAAGCGATCCGGCGGAAAGGAGTTTGGCATCGCCGCTCGATTTCGCGCTCGCGGTTACGCCGCGCGCCCTTGTGCTCCAACGTCTGCAACGTGAGCCTGCTCGCAGACTAGACATTCCAAAAAAACATACCATGGCTTTTCGTTGTCTGCGGGCTCATTAAGCGCCCAGCGGTATAGCTTCGTTAGCGTGATCTCTCGCTGACGATCTGGTTGATTCTCCGGGCTGAAAAAAAGCTCAGCTGTGTTTCACCTGGGGTAACTTCATTTGATCAGCGTAGTTATGGATTCTGTCGTTTTACCAGCCGTTGAGGCTGCTAAGCAGCAATTTTGTGTTGAAATGATGAAAGGCCTTGATACTCGGCGAAAGAACGACCAGTTTTGTGATGTGATTCTAGAAGTTAGCTCCGGTGACGATCAAGCTCGTTTGAAAGCTCACAAGATCGTGTTATGTGCAGCAAGTCCGTTCTTTGACAACGCTCTTAACAGTGACATGAAAGAAAAGAAAGAAGGAGTGATCCGATTAGAAGAGACGAGCAAAGCTGTGATGGAAGAAGTGTTGGAGTATCTGTACACGGGACATGTTGTCATTAATGAAAACAATGCACACGAACTCCTGGCCAAAGCAGATTATTTCTTGATTCCAAGTCTAAAAGTTTTGTCGAGCAAGTTCATCATGCAAACACTGTCCCTTTCCAACTGCATCGTGGCTTATTATCTGGCCTTGAAATATCGGTGTGAAGAACTTCTGAAAGGTGCTAAGGATTTCATTCATGCCAACTTTGTTGCTGTAGCAGAAACTGAAGAGTTTCTTAATATGAGCAGCAAAGAAGTCCAGGAATGGCTCTCAAGTGATGAAATCATCATCAAAGGAGAAGAAGTGGTCTTTGAGGTGGTCGTAAAATGGATCGAGGCAAACGGCTGTAGAAAAAATCTTCAATGTTTCTATGACTTGTTTCAACATGTTCGTTTGGTTTACGTGCCGCTCAATTATTTGTCCAAAGTGATTCTCCCGCATCGCTTTGTAAAAGCCAGAAAGAAATGTTTGGATTTGGCCCTAGATGCAATAAATTGTATTTCTGAGGGTACAGAGGAGCACTTTTTCAGTCAGGCCCCTAGAAAATGCCTCAAAACTCACGAAGATGCCATTGTTGCTTGTGGACAAAGGAAAACATTGTGTTACCTTCCCTCTGAAGATAAGTGGTATCAGTTAGCTGACATGCTGTCCCCTCATAACTCATACTGTCACACACTTTCCACTTGCCATGGTAAATTGTATCTCATTGGTGGGAATGTGTCCAGCGGCACCTCTGAACGCTATGAGCCCTCACTTGACTTGTGGACCTCTGGAAAAGCCCCTGAAGGTGATGTTTCAGAAGTCAGAGGGTGTGCTGCGGCTGCTACACTCCAGGGTTTCTTGTACGTAGTTGGAGGCAAAAGCAAAAGCAATGATGGCAAGCGATTGAGCACTGTGCAGAAATACAATCCTGACACCAACATATGGCAAGACGTTTCTCCTCTGAGCAGCCCTAGATCAAGCATATGTGCAGTGGCTGACGGAACTTATCTGTATGCTATTGGAGGCATGAGTGATACTGGTAAATTCGTGAACATTGTTGAAAGGTTTGATCCCACTAATAACACGTGGGATAAATGCTGTTCAACTCTTGCAAGAAGAAGACATGCTGCCGGTGCAGCCATTAAGCAAAAGGTGTTTGTATTTGGAGGCCTCTCTGAGCAGTCAGCTGCAGATTCCTGTGAGGTGTATGATCCAGCTACCAACATCTGGACAGGAATTCCAAGTGCAGTTGCGCCAAGAGGCTATGCAAGTGCTGTAAGTTTCAAAGAGCATATCTATGTTTTTGGTTGTTTTCAAAGTGAAGATGGCAGCAGGCAAGAAATGTCATTGCAAGCTTACGATGTGGACAGCAATGAATGGGTACCGTTAATTCGGTCATTTGGCTCGAGATTTTTCAAAATTTCTCGTCTTAGAATACTAAGAGATGTCTTGCTTACTTGCCAGGTACTTGAATCATGATTCTTGCATCCTGTAAGTTTCAAATGGCAATCTATATGTAAAGGTAGCCTGTGACAAACAGTTGACACTACTGGTTGACTGAAATGTCTGTCAAGTGACTGTATTGGAAACCATGGGACGGTGCTTTTCATTATGCTTAACAGACCGGTCAGAGACCAGTGGAACTAACCAATGGAAAATGTTACCACATTTTCCAATCAAACCAGACCAAGTGAGAGGAATGGCTCTTACCTTTTTCTATACGCATCCCCAATCCCCCACATAAGTGAAATCTAAAGCTGAAGAGAGGTAGGAAATTAAGGTGGAACTTGCCAAAATGGAACAGCAAATTGCGATCCAAACAGACCAACTGATTAAAGGGGACCACCTTTGAAGGTGGTCCTGTATATTCTGGTCAGATCAAACTGAAACATCGTTCCATTTGATCCTTAGTACTGAAATTTCAAGAATCTTGGCATAATGGAAAGCACCCTATTTTATAGATGCTATGTGTTAACATGTCAGCCAAGAAATGGTCTTTATTCAATGCCAATCTGTACATCAACTGATTGTCTTATTTTGGCCACTGTACAGCAGAACTGATGCACAGCCAGAATATTTTTCTCTAATTCTTCAGTCTATATCATGCATGCCAGGGCATAACTGGGAGTTTTCAAAGGGGGGATCACGCTGTGTCAAAATGAGGGTACTCACCCAAATGTCATGTCATTTTTGCCACCTGTTGTAGCTTGTTTGCTTAAAAAAGGCTTACAATAGGGGGTTCACGGACACCCCAGGATTCCCCCTAGCTACGCCCCTGCACATGAAGTTAGGTGCATTGCTTAAACTGTGTCTACGATGCATATCTGACACTGTTTTCTAATGTTATTGAGGCTATTCAATGCGGCGTAAACTCTAGTTGATCAAAGTGTTTGTGGACTACTCATAGCATCTTTTAGGTCAATCCAGTGTAATATTTTACTTTTTTCTAGTTTTAATTCTTAGATCATAATTATATTTTTTAACTTTCATTTTTATTCATTTGTTTTATGCTTTGTAAACTACAGCTGTGTACAACACATTGAGATTATGCAATTAATAAGAATGATAATATACATGAAAAAATTACTCAACTGTGATTGGCTGAGAGCAGTGCAGTTCAAGTGTAACACCAGTGAAATTACACATTGTAATTCTGGATTATGATTGGCTGAAAGACAATAGGAAAGTTTTGAAGCCAATGATATTACATAAAATGATGACGAGAATTTTGTGCGGAAACGTTGAAAAAAGTTTTCTCAAATGAGAAAAAGTGGCTTCAAGAAAGGTCTTCTGGCACTTCCTCCATGCAAATTTTTTCATGCCTATATTATTAATAAGTAATCATATGGTTTTTCTCGTTGCATTTGGAATTAATTTGCACTTGTGAGTTTTTCAAAAAGCTAAAATTGCACTCGCCAAAGCGGCTCATGCAATTTAGCTTTTTGAAAAGCTCATTCATGCAAATTAATTCCAAATTGAACTCGAAACTGTATGATTACCTATACTAATTTTTACCATTAGCACTATTCCTATATATATGTATATAGGGTAGTTTTTATTTTTTGTTGCTCAAAAACTTGGTTCAAAACAGGGGTTTGACATGCCTGGTTTGACCAATGATCTAGAGGATAGTTTTCCTTATATAGAAGTTCAGTTCAAAGAGTTTTCCTGCCTGTAAAAACCAGTTGTCCTCCTGCTGAATACTTAAATGAAACCCCTGTGTCAGTGTGTGTTTCATTGGAGAAGCCGAACGAATTTTAAGCAAAAGTTGCTAGTCAGGCTGGTTTATCCAGCAAAAGTGATCAACAGCTGATTTCCTCCTTACAACAGCATGAGCATGACACTGCCAAGTAGTTGACCAAAGGAAATAAGATTGAACAAGGAATATGGTTAAGAATTAGCCAAGGTTGGTTGGTTTTGGCCAAGACACCTGTAGCTGACAAGAGATGAAGCCTCACCACTATATTCAATAGAAGTAAAGAGTGAACCGTTTAACTACAAGTTCAGGCATAATTTTGTTTTTATCTTAATTTTTGTAAACAACTTCAATCAATAATTAATAAAATACAAAAAAATAATAATGCACTAACCAATCATTTCATTCTAGACATTTCACTAATTAGTTTTAAATGTTTTGAGTTGGAAACATTTTTAAAGATTGAGTTTGTTTATCGATTGTTAGTTAGACACTGAGTAGCCAATCAGATTGCATGTTTACCTGATAGTAGGTCACTCACTGTTATGCTAATGCCTGATACCTACTAGTGTGACTCTAGTGTGTACCCTGGTACAGTAGGTTCTGTTTTAGCTTGTTACATTTTTTTTCATTATTTTTCAGGAGGGCAGGGTGGTTGATTTGGTTATCATAATAATTATTATGAAAACATGTATCTTGTCAGTTAATGTGATTCTTTCTGTATTCAATGAAGAACCACTATATTACATGGTGTTTTTTTAATACTGTAACTGGATTTCCATTTTATATTATTAATGTTTTTACTTAAGAATTCAATCATACTTTTAAGTTTTTAGATATTAAGGCAGATAGCCTTTACCCTTCTGATGTAATTATTAATTATTAAAAATAGTCATCAAGTCTCTCTTGTTTACTCTTTCTGCCTCTGAAACAATCTTACCTTCGGGAACTTGTTTTAGGAAGGCATTTCGACTACAGTGCAAAATTAATTTGAAATAGAAATATTGGGATACAAATGGTCGAAATGGTTAGAGCTAGGAGTAGCTTCCCTTTCTCAAGAGAAAGTTCCTTGTCATAGGTATGGTTAAGTTACCGGCTTCTCTTTATCTAAACATCCACAAAGAGATTTCAATCTAATCAATAGCTTGCAGTTAGTGTTTTTAAATCCCCTTGAACACCTAATGTTACCTGGTGATGAATGCTTGATGGCTTAAATTGGTTAGCGGTTTGGCCCTTACCGTGCCCCCCGCAGATTCAGCTAGGGAATAAACTGTCACAGGGGCAATAGATAGCTGTAGTAACCCTCCCAGTCGCTTACGACACTTCTCCGGGAAACCAGAGTTATTGAAGCCTCGGCTGTTGTGGGAAACTGACCGTGAAGCTTTGCAAGATAACTGAGTTAAAGAGAAAATGTGCGCGTGGTCTGCGTCTCTGTCATTTCCTGACTTACGTGGCTCCCGACAACAAAGTCACAAATCCTCTTTCCCTTGTGCGCAAAACGGATATGAGTACAGATCTGCTGTAAATATATCTCTCTATACCTTCCTAATTTGAAAGGCGTTCATCTTCGCAGAGAAAATGAGCAATGACAGCCGTAATTATATTTTTTTCGTCATAAAGACAATTTCATTAATGACGTAATAAGGTCACGCGCACGTGCGCACGGATTTGAAGGAAGCATGGTATCATTGTCGTCCCCAGGGGCCGCGCTTCCTTTGGTCAGCACTAAGAATCGCGACCTCTGGCCTGACCCGATTTTTTGAGCATGCGCAGTGTATTTGTTTCGTATTCTTAGCCAGTCAGATTTGCCGGATTTGAAGGGAAGTCCGTGAATCGCGTACCTCCGGTGTCTCTGCGCATGCTCAGAAAATCGGGTCCGGCCAGAGGTCGCGATTCTTTACCTTTATTAGTTTGCACTTTTAATATGCAAATTTTTCTCAGCTTCTGTCATTGTTATTGTTAATTAGTTACTTACCTTAAATTTAAAATTTAGTTGTTACTTTTATTCTAAACGGTCACTTCTGAAGATGTATGTCGAAACATACGAAACGTCAAGTTTAATGAATTTTGTTTTCCAACGTGCGTTTTATTGTCATGTTTGTCACTGCAGTTTGTGTTTACAGTTCTTATAAAGCTACGATGACCAAAGAAAAAGAATATTTGCGATTCTTGGCGCCGACCAAAAGGAGCGCGACAGTCTGGGGACGAGAATGCCATGGTATGTGGTTTGTAAATGGTCATTTATTATACGACCAACTCCCTGAGCGGGCACTGTGATTGGCTACCCGAGCGGGCAAAATGTGATTACGCACTCTGTCCCCGCAAGAAAAACTTTCCTGAAAAAAATAAATCCTTTATTGACTAAACTTGTTCGGTCAAGATAAGATGGCTGGATGTAGACAATTTCGATGTATTAAAGTTCAGCCTAAAACAGTGAGCTCTGGGGAATAACTACAGAGTTTGTGTGTTCTATTGTGTTAGGTCTTTTGACCTCGTTCCTTATATTTGAGTGTTTATGGACCTACATTTTGTACTCTACCTAGTGTGGCGGTGGGGTTAATAGCGTGGGGCTGACGGGGCGGAAAAAATAAAAAAAAAAGATAATTTTTTTTCCGCCAGCCGTGCCCTCCACCATCCCTACCCACGGGCATTTTGTACTCTCTCCAGTTTCGCTCGCATCAAGAGACCAAGATGGCGGCCCGTCGAGCTCAAAGATCGACATCTACGATCTCACGGGAAAATAGGGGACTGTGAACAGTCTACATGAAAGTAAATTTGTAGGGGAACGCATTCCCATCTGAATTGTTTTGCACTGGCTCGTTTTGACATAGAGGCAAGAGGCAACTCGGATATGCTTATTAAAATAAGTCATGGAGGACAAATTTATGTGGACCATCGGTGCTATTTTTAGTTATAAAATAACTGAGCTACTACGCGCGCTCTCATTGGTCGATAGGTGTGTTTAGGATAGAGTAGGTAAACACGGTTGTGACGTTTTAGATTCGCGCGTATTTTTGAGAATTATTTAATAAAAGCAATAGAACACTTTTTCCGTGTTTACATAGCCTCATCTAAACACTTGGGGGGCGGGTGGGAGATTTCTCGAACTGCTATGCAAACCCGAGACGTAGTCTCGGGTTTGCATAACTGTCTCGGATTCTCCGCACCCTCCTCGTATTAAGATGAGGCTATGTAAACACGGAAAAAGTGTTCTATTGCTTAAATGTTACCAAACAATTTTTGAATGTAATTCCAGGCGGAATACGATGACATAGGCGGAAACGTATTGCGTTTAAGTTACGTCTTCAATCGTGCACTTGAGGCAGGGGCGGATCCAGGATTTTTCTTAGAGGCGTAACTGACTTATGAGGTAAACAAATTTTACAAGCGAATACAAAGGTTTCATTACAGGGGGGTATGCACCCCCTGCACCCTCCCCCTAGCCCCGCCCTCGTGAGGCCTGCTAAAATGGTCCTATCTGCCACACTCATTGTTTTGCTTTGCTCATTGTTTGGGCTTGTGAGGAGATTCACATTTGAAACCTGGTGTTTACTTGAAAATGTATTTTTACAGAGAAACTAAATTTGGTTTTCCGACGTTTTTAAGACTGATCAAGAAATCCAAGACGGCAGCTCGAAGATGACGGCTGCTTGTGTAACACGCGCGAAGTATTTAGCACATGATATGACGTCATCACTTCATTGCTTACCTTACGGAAACATTTACCGTCTCTACGCTCGTCAATTCGAAACATTAACATCCTCAACCAGCAAACCCCCGAGCATTAGACATTTTGAATTTTCAGTTGGTCAAACTCCCATCCTCCAGGGACAGAATGGTGTTCAAGTGGTGTGTAAACCTTTTGAGGGAATTGTTTTTGATCAACAATATATACAAAGCACAGTGTTGTATCTTGATACTTTCTGCAAGTCTTCACCATGATCGTGAGGCAACGCCTTCAAATCCCCCCTACCCCTCCCAAATGGTGTCAAATTCCCCAGCCCAATATCATCCACTGATGTAGCCTGTTCCAGGATCTTATTTTTCTCAGTGGTGACGATCGAAAAAGCGCGGGGGAGNGGGGGGGGGGGTGTGTAAGAGGGGTGAGTTCTGGGAGAGAAAAGGTCCCGCTCGTCGTCCGCTTGCTTTTTCAATCGTCCCCACTGACTGAGATCCTGGAACAGGCTACCACTGATGTCGAAGGTTCAATAGTTCGTACAAATTACGAAAAACCTCTCTTCGCAAAGTCAACATTTACGATTAACCTTTCTAACTGTAGAGACTGTTCTTGCAACTTTTGTTCTTCTCTACAACTAGAGATTCATTCAAAAAGCATAACTACACCCTACAAAGACTATAGCAAAGTACCCACCCCGAGATGAAAAATAGAAAGATTTCCACAAATCCTTCTTCAGCAGTGAAAATAATTCTTCTTAGGTTTATATTATCATTTTTATTCATCAACAAAACTCATTGCAAAATGCACTTACATAAAAACTGAATGATAAATTGCACAAAAAAAACCTTCTGTACTGTTTGTTACCTTCTGACATTTTGGGGTTTTTCTTTTTTTTTTTTTCTTTTCCAGACATTTGTCTATCTTATTATGCTTGAACTGGCTTTCCTAATGCCTGCACAAAAGTAAGCCAGGTTAGACTTAGATGCACAAACGTCAAAGTGCAGAGCGCACCAATATATGGCACAACCAGATGCTAGGATATGAGCAGACCCTCCTTTTACTTAGTTTTATCGCAAGAGGATTTCACGCAGAAAGTTCTTCTTGTGTGCTTTCTTTTCCACTGCCTCCACAGACTAAGAAAAAAGAAGGGAGACCAAAGGATTTCACGTCGTCATTTTTTTGTACACTTTCTTTTCCATCCTGCTCAACAGACTCGGGTGATTAGGCTGAGCTCAGGAGATGACTGACATTCCAGGCTACAGACTTAGAAGAAAGAGAGGATGCTAATGGCCTAGCAGTTGGTTGTATTTTGATAAGCCAAGATTATATTTAAAAACCTTCAAAAATGTCAAAACCTACAGTCACAAAATCAAACACCTCTCATATGATGCTCTTAAAACTGAGCTTAATATACCAAGAGTAGTGCAGTAAGCTTCAAATCTGAATCCAACTTCCATGGGAAGTAATAAGAAAACACCAAAATGTGTCCATTAGTAACTAAGAAAATTGTCTGTCTCCTCTTGCAATTTAAAATATATTACATCTTTTGCAAAACAAAAAAAGATTCTCTCATGTGAAACGTCAACAGCCCCACCCAATGTCAACTCTTATAATCACAGGGGCATCCCATGCTCATTGTGTGACTCTTTTATAGGTGGAAATAATGTAGAAAAATGTACAATTGTATTTAGCAGCTAAACATATGAAATAGTATCAACTTCCCTTAACTTCCATTTATGTTAATTGTGTCATTCTCCGTGATTTTAGTTTTGGAAACAATTTAAAATGGTCTAAAACACCACAGAAAGACAATACACAAACAATGCCAGAGAAGGCATAGTAAAATTCCCTAAAGTGTTCATGGCATTCCTGTGTGAGTCTTCTTGAGTTTTATAACAGTGAGAACTGTGCTCTTTAAACCTTAAAAACCTTCTACAAAGTATCTCCCCCGCAAAGGTATCTTACACATCTATTTCTGACAAAATATTGAACTACCAGTAACTAAAATAATTTTAAAGATGTCTCTACAGTGGTAGAGGAAAGAAAAAAAGTTAACTAAGTCAGTTAGTATACATAAATCACCACTGGAATAATCAAACACACCTATTGCTTACATGTACCTCATCCAAATTTACAAAATATGTCTTCTTCTTTTTGTTGCTGTTGTTGTTATAATTGAACTCTCAGCAACATGAACATCATGGTAAAAGAAAACAAAATCTTCATTTGCAAGAAGCAAATGAAAAACATGTTACAACCTATCACAGCAGTTTCATTCAAGAGGAAAATAGCGCAACAATATGCTACAATTGAACAATATACTGCTAAGACCTGCTTCTTGCCACTAAACAGTTAACAGCTCAACAATAAGAAAACAAACAAGTAGTGACAATTGTACAATTTACACTTCACAGAACAGACCGCAGTTGTGTGAAGATATATGCTTACGAAGCCAATCATGTGCAAAAGCATCATTTCGGTACCTTGGAAAGAAAGGCAATGAGCCTGCAAGAAAATGAGGTTGTGCGGTTAATCACTAAAAAGGATTGAAATGAATTTGATTCATAATTATTGAGACTTTACACCTTCCCTGTCTAAAGCAACTGGTCATACATGTACATACATATCCCAAAATTTGCTGCCTGCAGAGTTTCCCACTAGTCAACCAGGACTTTTCTTAAGTAAACCCGCTGACCAGGGACTCATGCGCTCGGCCAAATGTGTCGGCCATGTTTCTGTTTCGAACACTGCCAACAATCTGAAGGACTTGCTCATTATTTCTCATCTTACGGAGTTCTTGTAAGTGTCTTCACTTCACTAGCTAAGTTTAGTTTCATTGCATTGTCATCTTTGTTTTCCTGTTCGATTGTAGAATGGTTCCTTCTTCGTTGGCATTAAAGTGAATTTTGCTCATCGAGAAGGCTGTTTCTTCACTGCGCACCCACTCATACTCCAGCATAGAGTGAGGTACTTGTACGTAAGGGTAAGACACCTGGCCCAGGAATATACCATTAAGACCCTGGCCTGGGATTGACCCCGATTGCTTCAACTAGTCCCAATGCAATTATTACAATATTACGCAGTATTAAGTGACCAAATCTCCCACAAACTGGTTAGGTGGGTACAGTCTGCATACGAGCCAAGTGGCCCATCAAGCTAGAACTCATCCCAGTTTCTGTAGCATAAAGCGACTAGAAGTATTACTATTCCTCCCCCCGCCCCCTCCCAACCCCTGGCCCTCAAATTATGGGATTCTAGTCCATCGCAGCGTTACCCCCAGCATTAAATATGCCAGTACCCATTTATACACGTAGGTGGAGAGAGGCACTATGAGAGTTAAGTGTCTTGCCCAAAAACACTAAACAATGGCCCTGGCCAGAGCTTGAACCCGGACCGCTTGCTCCAGAGATGAGCGCACTAACCATGAGGCCACCACACCTACCACAAACTGACCAGAAAATAATTCTGATGTTTTAAAGAAACTGTATGATCAGAAACTAGAAGAAGATGCCCTGCTGTTTAAAGAATGGAAACCACTACCCCTGAAGAAAATATAACCACTGTTATTTTGGTAATGTACATGTACACAGTCGGGTGATGATAATATTGGTGCGTTCCTTTGGGGTGATCTGGATCTGGATCCCATTCAGTTATCCAAGACCACAGAGATCATGGAACCTCAAAGGAACTGATTAATCAACTCTGGTCATGGATTCATTGGTTCCTTTGATGCACCATGATCTAAATGATCTAGGATTGCTGATCTTGTTCTGATCATCCCAAAGAAATTCACCCATTATTTACTTATAGCACTTTTGACCACTTGAACACTTAGGACCATGTACAGTAAATATTCATCCACTTGCAGAACATTCACCTTCATCATGCCTTTTCTGGTGTCGTTTTAGTTTCCATGGAGCATCAAAGGTTGCTAAACAACCTCGCTCTTTACACCTACAATATAACAATGATTTGAACACAAAATTTCAAAAACAAGATAACACAAAAGAACTAAAATCTCCTCACTATGCCTTTCAGTAACACATGAACTCTGCTCAATCAAACGTTTTGTGTTTTGCTGCCATCATTCATCTTAGTGGACCTCCCAGGAAACAGAAGTTTACTTCAAAAGGTTCAAAAGGATAAGTCTATAGGTTGTGATTGGTAGGTAATGCATTTTGTTTGTTTCTGTTATTCAAGGTTCACTGGCTGTCATCTTAATAAAACAATAGTTGAAGGCAGCCAAAAATGCAACATACTACTAGTTGCATTTTGAGTTTTGAGTTCACATGTTATTGAAAGGCATAGTTATGTAGCTGATTGATTGGTTACACTGGACCACTGTGACAGTGGATATTAACATGCAACATTCAATAATGACAGTGGTAACTTTTTCAAGTCTATTAATAGTAATTAAAAACATTATTTCTAAAAGCTGAAGTTACATTTATGTGAATAATGTTCAACATCAAAAGTTCAGTCTGGAGAACATATATAATTCTAATTCTAATTGCATATTGACCCACAAAATGAAACATGCCACCTTGTGTAGTGGTATTACAGACATCATAAGATACATGACAGTGCTCAATGGATTGCTTTTCATTTGGTTAATAATGAGGACTGGCAAAGTGATTAAACCTGGTTTGTTGTACAGATTACAACAGCTATGACAATAATGAACATACATAATAAAACAAATCAAAACTGTGGAGCTCGAGGCAGTGATGCCGAGAGGGATAGGGCACCGAACTCAAAATCCAGAGGTTGCAGGTTCAAGTAACTTCTGTTCTGACCATGAAGTCGTTTCTTGGTAGACCTCGATCAACTCCTTGGTCATGTTTGTACATGTATACGGCCAACTAGTCTGTCTCCTGCAAGCTGGGATTTTTCAAGCCTCTTATGTTTAGTTGATATATTTGTTTCTTTCAGTATAAGTGACATGCCTGTAAGCTACATGTAGCTAGGTGTAGCTAAGTGCACTGACCACTACAAACAACAAAATTTGAACATTTTTCAACATTTGGATACAATTATGACTACTGACCTAAAGGGCTTCTCACTGGTGTGTACAAACTGATGAATCCTGAGTAGTTTAGACTTGCTGAACTGTTGATTGCATCCATCAAAGCTACACTGCAAATATACATGGTGACAGAGGATTAAAATAGAGTGAACGCATAACATGATTCCACGTCAGGCATATAACACAACATGGATAGCTAGCCAAGATGCTTGTCTTTGGTATGTAAGGTACCCCCAACATATTTACCACTTCTTGGCTCCAAACAAGTGGAATCAAGGGTGGTCCCATTTATACACCTAGCTGAATGATCACAAGCATTGGTGCACTGGAAACTAATTTAAGGTATACAAGATAATGTAAAGGTGAATTAATCAACATGACACAAGCGTGGGACAAAGAAAAATTCTGAGTCCCCGACAGGAATCGAACCCATGACCTCCCGAACACCAGGC